CAGCCTCCAATGGGGTGGCAAAGGCAGCCAGTTCCAGTGCATGAGGATCTATATACTGCATGCAAAGACCTCTATATACTGTATGCAAAGACAAATCATTAAAAAATATATATTTTTTACATTACATATTTTAATTGCATTAAAAATATATATATTTTTAATACAATTACAATATGTAATAGTAGGTGTTTGACTTTTAGTGTATGACTGTTTTTTATTTTTCTGGTTCTAATATGGCAACCACCCTCCCAAAAGAAGTATCTCAGGGGGGCAATGGGAGGGACTTCCATGGCAAAGGTCAGGGGTTAAGGGTGGGGCTTCCAGTCCCAAGATGGTGACCAGGGGGTGGGGCAACTGTCAAGGGGCAGGGCCACCTATACAGCCTTTGAAAGCTCATCAATCCTTGGTAAGTGGCACTTCACCCATAATAATTGCCTGCCTTTGATTTACAGGAATATAATGAAGACTAGCTAAACACTTCCAAAATAAACAAAGCATTAGTTTCTCTAAACTCTAAGAATAGAAAATGGTCAAAAGAATGATTCTTTTGCACGCATTCTCTGGTGGAAATCACTGATATGGATAACAGTTATGTTGCCCTTCAGCTAACAAGTCCATTCCTTGAATTTTATTTGATCAGGGAAGCTACATCAGAGTGCTGGCTGAGCGTGGTTAAATTATCGTCGCTTTTTGGCCACATCCATTTATTATTTTAAATATTTACAAGTCAATAAGAATTACTGATTATTGTTGACATTGGCAATGCATAGGGGGTGCATGTGGGTGCATGTGCACTCCAAGCGTGGCAGTGCATCCCCTGTGAAAAGGCACCGCTGACACTGCCGGCAGCGCCTGTGGGTGGTCACCGCTCACCACCCCCTCACCACTGGTGGCATCTGCAGGTGGTCTGCAATTGCCGCTGACCACTGTCAACGGTGTTGGCGGCGTCTGTGGGTGGTCACTGACTGCTGGTCCACACTTGCCACCCCCCAGTTGGCACTCGCTACCCTCCCCACTCCACTGCCGACAGTGCTGCGGTCACCTGCAGGAGCTCCCCGCTTGCTGCTGCCATGCTCCTATAGCCGACAATGCTGCTGCCACCTGCAGTAACTTGCCATGTCCCCACAGCCACCGTGGGCACTCAGTGCTCATGAATGTGGATACAAGTTAGGACACTGTCTTAAAAAATAATAAATGTCTATTCTATCTCCCTATCACTACAACCTTGAAAAATGTTTAAAATATTTGAGTTGGTTAAACAGAAGAGGTTGGGAAAGAAATGAGTTTATGCAGAGATGAGCTGTGAATCTCTTTGCAAATTGTGGTTTGAGGGTTGAATAAAGCATGAATGGAAATATCTGCAGTTTCAGAAAACAATTAGCACATCCCACAATTGAGAACACAGCATACTTCTTAAATAGGAATTGTTGCATTTCTTTCTTTTTTTCTTTTTGTTTTTTGGAAGCTAATTAACTTCACTGCTTTGTGGCAGAAAATTAAAACTAGCAGAGTTTTTTCTGTTTTGTTTTTTTAAATGCCTGGAACAAAAATAGAAATCTCAAATCAGCTCTTTCCTCTGTAATATTTTCTTATGCCCTAAAGGAGAATTAGAGAAGGTGTAAACAAAACCAGTTCTTTCTTTTTATGTTTAAATTATTTCAGGTTTACTTTCCAGGCTTTTGTTTTCAGGCTTGTCTGTCTTTTCTTCATGAAATCTTTCCATCTTTTTCAGTTATCCATTCTCTCTTCTCTTGGTCTTATTTCCTCCCACATTTTTCTGAAAGTTTTCCCACTGCTATTCAATGGCCTGATTCACTTCCTCTCAAAGCTTTCCAAATTCCAACATATGCAGTAATACAATGTCTTGGCACCTTTCGGGGGGGGGGGGGGGGGGAATGTTATGATGCTGGAGTGTTATAAAATCCAACACAGAATTTAGCTAAGTAACAAACTTACTCTTAACTTAACTCTGACTGGCAGGGTTGTGAAGGTATGAAAACAGCTTGATGCATTGGTGTCTGTCTGAACAGCACACATATGGCCCATTCAAGCAAAGAATTATGACAAATGTGTCCAACTTCAAGAATTCCTGTCATCCTCACTGTTGTCACTAGGAGTTAGGCAAGTCAGTGTTTTTGAAACTCCCACCAGAATCCAAATGATCAGAAGGTATTTAGTCACTCAGCCTCCAATTCAATGAAAGTTAGGCAGTTAAGCATATATCCCCAGAAGTATTTATGTGCTTCTCTGTAACGTAAAAAATAATCAAAACTTTCAGTATGTAAGTTAGTGCCACTAAATAGAAATGATAGCTGTTTTAACTCTTTTATTTCCTGGCGGTTGTGCATAACTCACAGCTATTCAAACTTTAGGCAGTTTTTGATATCTTTGGGGAATGGGGCAGGGGAGGGAGATCCCTAGATAGACCATTAGGATGAGTCATGATGTTCATTTAGAGTTTTCCCAACTCCTCTTGCAATACACAACTGGGGAAAAAAGTGAGTCATTATTAGACCCTAAATGAATTCACTATGACTGTGTTCATTCTTTTTTCACATGTGCCCTCTGCTGCAGATAGTCTACTTTATTTTTATTTTTTCTACCAATTTATTGGAAGTAATGTTCCCAGAAGCTCTATATAATTAAAGTAAGTATGTAGATTATATAGAGCAGATACAACATTAACTCACAGGCAACATGGAGCCACGTGCCCAAGGAGGAGTTTCTAATTGTGTGTGTTATTTATTTTTACCTTCTTGGAGATGATGTCCCTTTTTTAAATGAGGAAGGAATGTACTGGTTGCATGTTGGCAGTATGCTTCATGTAAAGCACCCAGTCTAGACTGTGGCAGAGTCAAAGTAGTGGCAGTGATAGTCTACCATCTCTTCTACTTGCCTTTGCTGCACCAAGCATCCCATCATATAAGAGGGTCTTCTGCTTTCCTTCAGGCAGCGATTCCAATTGTGGGTAACTTCAAATAGGCAAAGGATGAAACGGTCCTTGCTTCTGCTTGAGGCCTAGGCCCAGTCTGGTTTTAAGTTACCACTGGGAAATGTATGTGGAAAGAAAAACTTAAAAAAACATTTACTTAAGCATTTGTGGAAGAAACTTGCTTCTAAGGACTCTGTTCATCTAGTCAGGAGGCAGACACCTATACCATGTGACTGATGAATTTATTTCTTTAGGCTTGCTGATTGAGTTGTTGCACAAATAATTTTAAATTAGTTGCAGCTAGACTAATTGGGGTTTAATGGCTGTTAATATCCATGCAATGACTGGTAGATCCATTCTTTTTCTATTCAGTGCCACGGCCATTCTTTCTTCACTTCAGGTAGAGGGAAAAATCAAGTAATAAATAACTTTTTGTTTTCTCTCTCCTTGTGAAACATTAATTTTTCTTCCAAATTGTTGATGAATGGAAGTCACACTTGGTTGCTCCGTTAATTCTCTAGAAAGGGAAACACAAAAAGGGTTTTTTTCAGCTCGCAGGAAAAAAAAAGATCAGTAGCATGATTTGCTACTTGTATATGGATTGTTATAGATTTAGAAGAAATGGAAAGAACTTCCTTACTTATGCTATACATATAATACAATGTAATATGCATACACCAGATAGAGGGAAACCTCCCCCCGCCCCAACAAAGGTCGGGGTTTGAAGGACGTAGGTAGGAACAAGGGCACAGTGCTTCCATGCTTTGAGCTATGCTTTTGGGGTGTTTCAAAATCAGCACAGCGGGTACATCTACATGTGCGCTTTAGTGCGCAGTAGATGAAATTCATAGTTTCATAGGTGTTAGAGGCTGGAGCAGACCTTACAGATCATTGGGTCCAGCACCCCTGCACTTTGGCAGGAAAGACTGCTGGGATCAGATGACTCCAGCAAGATGGGTGTCAAGATGCTTTTTGAAGATCGCCAGGGTGGATGACTATACTGCCTCTGGGGGGAGCCTGTTCCAAACCCTTGGCACTTGATTTGTAAAGAAGTTTTTCCTTATGTCTAGCCTGAAGCAATCTTCAATCAGTTTGTGCCCCTTATTTCTTGTCTTCCCCTGGGGGCCTTGGTGAATAGATGCTCCCCAAGGCCCTGATGTACATCCACAATATACTTATAGGCTGCTACCAAGTCCTCTCTGAGTCTCCTCTTCCCCAGGCTGAACAGTCACAAGTCTTTCAGCATCTCCTCATGAATTTCCTGCGAAGTAAAGCATCACTATCTACACATGTGTGGCACTTCAGTGAGTGTCAACTGATTTACTGTGCTGCCAGATAGTACTTGTGTCTGACAAGTCTATCTGACAGTGCAGTAAATTACTTCACTTAAACACTTATGTAGAAGGTAACAGGGTTGGCTGGGACATGAGAGTGCTTCACTGCAGGGCTAGCTGGCAGGCATCCCCCATGCTGAGGCACCCTTTTGCTCCAGCCAGCCACTCCACAGCAGTTGGAGCCCCAGGGCTACCCCAGAGGGGCTCCACATGCTGTGGAGTGGCTGGCTGAAGCAGGAGCAGCCCCTGCGCTGAAGTACCCTCATGCTGCAACCAGCCCCCCGCTGCACATGGAGCCATCAGAACAGTCCTGGGCTGGCAGGATGACCTTCTGGGTTCCCTGTCAGCTCAGGCTGTTCCCATGATGCTCCATGTGGTGCACATGAATAAACTCTGGAACTAATTGCTCTGGATTTTTTTTTGTTTTTTGTTTTGTTCCTGGGCGCACATTCAAACAGTGCACCTAGGAGCTAAAATCTCCAGAGCAATAAGCTCTGGAGTTTATACATGCACATTAATTGCATGTGTAGACATGCTCAGTGAATGGCAAGATACTCAGCTTCCTGGATAGTATTATGCATCACAAATGGACCAGAGCTCCAAACTGGAACTGGGGATCCATAATGTGAGGCACTGACAAAGGTGTAGGAAGGTACTTTCTGCCCTGAAGTATGTCAGGTCTAAGTGCGGCAGGGAGGGGAGATTAATGACATGATATCCACTCCATCCTACAGAAAACCATTGGAAAAGTTGGGAATAAAAGCCATTCCTGCACCTGATGTACATTGGCATTGTAACGATCCTCAGAAGAATTCTCCTTCCCTGCTGTGTAAACAGGAAAAGAAACATAAGTTCCTAAAAAGATAGGATACCCTCAATCGTGGAAGGTACAAAGTATTTACCTAGATACTTGTGGATTTTACTTCTGTGTCCTCAGAGGCACAAAAGCCTACTTGTTTGGTAAGCAGAAATCTTTCCTAGGAGCTTGCTAATGTAACAGCTGCAGAGTTTTGCTTGGCTGCAAACTGAGTAGATGAGCTGTGCCTAAGGACTTTGCAGAGAAGGGCAGCAAAAAGTTTGCCGAGGGTGTACATCTTTCCAAATGAAGGGTGCGGTGTGCAAAATGCATGCTTTTTCTGGGGCATTTTCTCAGTGGGACCTATAGTGGGAGTTCCCCAAGGTTACTGGCACCCCGAGGATCCAGAATCTGGCACATCGCCCAGCCTAGTGTGCCGGCAAGAGTTACACTAACAAGAATCTGCAAAATCTAGATGCTCTTTTTTAAAAGGACAAGTCCATATGGCTATGTAGCTAACATTCTAAAATTTGAGTGATGTGAGCATTGGCATTGCACTCTTTGTAGCCTTCCCAAACTGTCAACAAAGAATTTTCTAGTCTTTATCAGTCTTGAGTACTGAATACAGGAGGGTGAGAGACGGGCTTAGTTTGGGGCCCAGAAAACATTTTTAGAAAGTTACATTTTGAGCCTTCCAAAACCATATGGAATAAAGTAACATTTTTAGCAAAATTAGATTTTACAAAGCACTTTTGGCCATCTTTGAGCTTTTGATATGTAAACGATATAGACACTTGAGGCATAATAGAATTTTAACTGATAAGCAGAACTAGAGTTTTAGGTGCCTGATGAGCATCCTGCCACATCTATTTTACATGAATTGGGAACATCTGAAAGACACTTGGGCTAGGTATAGATACTCAAAACGTCTGAGGCAGAATCGATTCAAGTTACTCAGTTTTCTGTAAGTGGTGTAGTTTAGATCAGTAGCAAACAGAACACACATTCACCCTTTGGTTGGGAGGTGAAGGGGAAGGGGGCAAATCTTGGACCAGGTTCCACCATTTTTAAACCAATCTGCGCACCAAACTTCTGTTCTGTTAGTTATAGAATGGTTTTGTGCCAGAACTTCTGTTCTGCTATGGGTATGGAAATTTCCAATCACTTATACCTGTAAAGTGTAATGTCTGTACCTGGCCTTTATGTAAAGCAAAAGACAACCAGGAAAAAAGTCAAACAAAAACTGTACAAGAACTCCAATGAAAGTGGCATCGACAAAAGTAACTGAACACTCAAGTTGTCTGTAGACGTGCAGGTAGGCTGCTGTGATGCTCCGTAATAACAGCATGTTGGAGCAGACTCGATTAATCAAGTCTGCTGGGATGTGGTAATTGGCATACTCCACCAGCCTGCATGCCTCATGTATTAAGACCCCTATACTTAGAAATGACAGAGGGGGTGCTTTTAACTAAAGCTCATCAAATGAGCTTTAGTTAAAGTGCCCCCACCACTATTTTGAATCATGGAGATGCTGATACATGAGATGCTGTGGGTGCTTTAATTAGAGCAATTCTCAGAGCCTTTCTAATTAAAGTGCCCCTCCCTCACCCCCATAGCACATGTTAAAATGCACTAACAACCAGATTTTCAACAGTTCCTATCACTCTGCCATCCCACTGTTCATAAGCTGCTTACCTTGAAGTTTTTACCATGTGTAGACCCAGACATGCAGCCACCCATACCTGGAACACTCATGGAAGACATCTGATCTGTGTAGGTGAAAACTGTTTTGTTGTATTGTAATTTGAATTAAATACCTGTTATCTTGAATTAATGAACAAAACTATGCTCCTGATTTTGACTAGACTAACATTTGCAATCTTGAAATTTAAAAACAGGGTTAATTAGCAGTCAAATAACAGCAAAGAACTCTTCCCTAATGAAAACTGTTTGCAGGATGGGGGATGTGTTTGTCATCTAATCTGCATCTAAACTGGTATTTTCCACAGTACTGTGGAAAAAAAATTGGAACTGTATGCACCCTTTTAAATGTGTTGACTGAGGCTGTAAATTGGATGAGATTTTTATTTAATATCTAAGTCTAAAAAGAGTTGCCAGATCTGATCATAAATATGTAATTTTGTGAAGTCTACCACAGATAATGAGAAAAATGTCAATGAGTGTTGAAATGTAGGTTTCCAATTATTTTAACAACAGTAAACTGGGTTTTCTGGATATATTTATTACATTTGTAGTTGCAGGAATAGAGCATGTGTAGAGTAACTGAAAGAGATTCCTGTCTGAATAGGAAATCAGCTTGTTCAAAGACCCAGTCATCATTGGAAAACCTATGTTTAGCTTTTGTATTAGAAATTAATCTACTCTTATGCTGTTTTGCTCTCACTGTTGTCTTTTACAGGGAGAAAATCACTCAATGGTATTCTAAGGGGAGGAATTTGCAAACCTAGTCTACCTTTGACACTGCAATAAAAGCACACTTGAAATGGCAAAGAGCTTCCTCTCTGTTTTTTTAAATGCATTTAAGGACTAAATGAAGGTAACCATCAGTTCTTGGGGTGATAACAGAGGGGGAGCAATCAATCACAATGAGGAGCAAGTGACTAATGTTTCCCCCATGAGACTGTCTGGTTGAAAGTTTTCATGCATTCCGAGGGAAATTATGAAGAGCCCCAGGGCTGAGGAAAGTACAGTAATCCTTAACTCTAAGAAAGATGTTTCTTTTAAGATAGATTGGTTACATGAAAACACTTGCATCTTAAATTGTTTTGCCATATCCAGGGTAGTGGGACAAATAGAAAGGATTTCTTCTGACTTTTAAAAAAGTTTTCTTAGGGCTTGATTGTGCAGGAGGGTGGTACAGTGGTACAGTACTCTCCACAGGGGCTCTGTGAAGTATTTTGCTTCACAGTCTGGTTCAGGTTTCTTGGAGTTTTTCTTAAAGGAAGTGCTATCTTATGTATGTGTCAGGCTTTTATGATGCCTCTCCCTTTGATCACAGGAACTGCCACTACCTTTGCCTGTATTCAGGGAGATAGATTAATGAGAAGAAGGAGAGAACAAAATGGAGCTGTTTGGTTTCTTTCATTTTCATGCTTATGGTAGAAATCCAACTTTCTAAGGTGTGCCTGGGCCCTAAAAGTCAGATTCCTGTCCAGTCTGGATATGGTTTCTTTACCTACAAAGGTAGCAAAGCAAACTGCACCTTGTAAGGACCTGTCATCTCAAATACTGGACATAACTTTTGTATGCAGTAGTCTTTATCCTAAATGACAAGACAGCTCATTCTCCAGCCCAGAATTTGTGCTATTTTTGGCATTTTTTTCATACTGTTTGGGCTGGTAAGTGTCTCTCTGTCTGATGTAAGTGAAGAGTCTGATGTTCAAACAATTGGAACAATTATCTTTTGCTGACACCTTGTAGGATGTCCCAGCATTGAGCATGCACCTGAGGTAGCGAGGAGGTGGTGTAGGCTGGAACAGACACAAATAGTGAGAATTATAAAGAACATGCAGAAACCTTCCTATTAACTAGAGATCCATATATAGCACAGCATAGTACTTTTGCTAGCTGTGCTGGATCAGGTGGAGTTGTCCATTAGGAGGCACTGCTATCTTCAGCATTTTAGATTTCTTAATTTTTTTTTTGTTTTTTTTAAATTTAAACAGAGAACAGGACAAGAAATTTCAAAATGTAGCCTGATAGCATATGCTAATACTAGAAAGTATTTAACATATACACACAAAATTGTGTATTGGAAGCTGTGTAGGCTATGTAATATGTAGTTTCTGTTTTGGTTTGCAGCTTCACATCAATGGAGTGGACAGGCCCAAATATTTTGCCCTGTAATTAAATTTAAATATAAGCATTTATGCACATGCCAGCATTGCTTTTTTGAGGGATGTTTCCTTTTAGGTAGCTGCCATAGAAAAAATGCAGAATCTATTTGCATGGTCCAAGCTTTCGATAAAGTCTATAGGATTCTCCAGTGTTATTAATCTATATGTAGCAGAGGGTAGAAACAACTGTTACGCACATCTCTCTCTCTCTTTCTCTGTCATGGACGCACACACACAAACTGTCACACACATAAAGATCCAGGACTATATCCCAGGACTGAAACACAGGCTTCTGTTAACTTAGCTAAAAAAAAACAACTTTGGCAGTAATAGTGTTCAGTTGTGGCCATGCAATAGAGTGAATAGCTCTTGCTGTCAAACTCCAAGACATAATTATAATAATAGAGTCCCAACAGAAAGATGTTGACAGTGCATGGTCTCAAAAAAATTAAGAATGGCACTATACTTTTGAGTGATAGCCACCACGTGGAGTGTATGAGGGCTATGGTTTCATTTCTTATTGATCACTATATCACCTCTCAGCTGCAGCCTGTCAACTCTCTTCTTGAAGTCTTATAAATATATATTTTAAAATATATATGATAATCAGTGGCAGTCAATTCACTTTCTCGAGTGCTTTCACTCACCTCCTCCAGGCTACTGTATTGATATCCTTTCTCTGATCTCCTAATTACATTACAAACATCTACAAGTCTGTCTTCAACTGCCTAAACAGGAAAGGAGGAAATCCTTTTAAATGGTGTATTTTATCAACCAAACACTGTTTCAGGGGTAAAAAAAGACTATACAATTCATACTGATATTAGTGATAGTCTCAAAATGCAGGCTAGAACTGTCAAAAAATCCCTTCCACCAACCTGAATAGGAGACAGCCATAGAAGGAGTGGGGCTTTTTCAAATGTAGTTCCCTGGTGAGAAAGACCTAAACTTCTTGCTGTCCTCTTGTCTCACTGGAGAACAGGCTTGCTCAGAGTGAAGGCTAAGGCAAGACTAGGTCTGAAGATAAATGACTGGTTTGAACACCCGGATCAAAGATAACAAGAAGTCCTTTTTTAAACACATAGGGAATAGAACAGAAGGCACCGAGTAATGTGGGGCCCCTGCAGGACACGCTTGGAGATCTAGTGGTTGCACCAGACAATAAAGCTGACCTCTAACGAATTCTTTGCCTCCATTTTTCCAAGCAGGGACTGGGACATCTCCCCCACCGGGATTCTGGACAGACCCAAGAGAGGCACATCCAGGCATAGGGTCTGTGAGGACCTAGTCAGGGAACTTCTGGTGGGATTGGATGTGTTCAAATCAGCAGGTCCTGATGATCTCCACCCCAGAGTGCTGAGGGAATTAGCAGAGGTCACTGCGGGACCCCTGGCACAACTTTGAGCACTCATGGCGCTCTGGCGAGGTGTCAGAGGACTGGAAAATGGCCAATGTGATCCCCATTTTCAAAAAAAGGAGGAAGGAGGACCCAGGAAACTATAGGCCCATTAGTCTTACCTCGGTCCTGGGGAAGCATTTTGAGAAAATTATCCAGGAGCACATCTGCGAGGGACCAGCAGGGGAGATTTATGCTTAGGGGCAACCAACATGGGTTCATTAGAGGCAGGTCATGTCAGACCAACCTGGTTTCCTTCTATGACCAGGTCACAGAATCCTTGATTCAGGTGTCGTGGTGGACATAGTCTTTCTGGACTTTAGGAAGACCTTCATCACTGTCTCTCACCCCATCCTCATTAAAAAATTAGGCGACTGTGGTGTCGATGCCTACACAGTCAGATGGGTCGCAAATTGACTGGAGGGCCACATCCAGAGAGTGGTCATGGACAGGTCATTTTCAAGCTGGAGAGATGTAGGCAGTGGGGTTCCCCAGGGCTCGGTCCTCAGGCCCACACTGTTCAACATCTTCATCCGCAACTTGGACAAGTGGGTGAAAAGCACCTTGTTCAAATTTGAGGATGACACTAAGATGTGGGGAGAGATGGGCATGCTAGAAGGGAGGGACAGGCTACACCTAGATATGGACAGGTTACAAGGATGGGCGGATGAGAATAGGATGGGTTTCAATACTGACAAGTGCAAGGTACTGCACCTAGGGAGGAAGAACCAGCAGCATACCTACAGGCTGGGGAACTCCCTTCTCATCGGCACGGAGGCAGAAAAGGATCTTGGAGTCGCTATTGATTCCAAGGTGAACATGGGCTGCCAATGTGAGGATGCAGTCAGTAAGGCTAATTGCATCTTGTCATGCATCCACAGACGCATCACAAGCAGGTCCAAGGAGGTGATCCTTCCCCTGTATGAGACATTGGTCATGCCACAAGTGGAGTACTGTGTCCAGTTCTGGGCACTGCACTTCAGGAGGGAGGACAGCATTGAGAGGGTCCAAAGGAGGGCCACTCACATGATCAGGGGGCAGCAGGGCAGGCCCTATGAGGAGAGGCTATGGGACCTGAACCTGTTCAGCCTCCGCAAGAGAAGGCTGAGAGGGGATCTGGTGGCCGTCTATAAACTTACCAAAGGGGACCAGCAGGCATTGGGAGAAACCCTGTTCCCCCAAGCAGTACCAGGAATAACTAGGAATAACGACCATAAGTTGACTGAGAGTAGGTTCAGGCTAGACATCAGGAAGCACTACTTGCTAGGATCCTAGCTACTGGCTAAGGAATAGAAACAACTTCCAAGGGAAGTGGTGCTCACTCCTACCCTGGATGTCTTCAAAATGCGGCTAGATAATCACCTAGCTGGGGTTATTTGACCCCAGCATTCTTTCCTGCCCATGGCAGGGGGTCAGACTTGATGACCTGCTCAGGTCCCTTCCAACCCTACCAACTATGAAACTATGAAGAGTGCCTGACATGTGTTGAAGAATGGGTGACTGGTGTCACCTTAGTCAGGGGGGGTACATGCCCCTCCACCAGTTGGATCTTGCCGACTGGGAGGGTCACTCCCACGGCTGATACCACTGACCAGGGTGGGTGGTCTCCCCATGGTCTATTGCAAGGTGGCCGACCACTCTGGCTGATCGCTGCAGTCACTTCCAGGAGTGGCTGCAGTTGCTGCCAACCCCCCATCGCCTAAGCGCTGAGTGTGGTCAGTCAGGGGGTGCACCGGTGCTCTTGGGGGTGCATGTGCACCCCCATGCACTAGCTACATGTTGCTGATATGTTGGAGCAAAAAGCACATGCTTCTGCTGCACGGAAAGCATGATGCTAGCACAAATCTGAGCTCAGGGCTAGTCAAGCATGCAAAGATGGTTTCATTTTTTAAAAATTGATTCCAAGATATGGCCTATGGGCCATATGCAGCTGACAGAGCCCCATTATCTGGCCCACAGTACTACCCCTGAGCCTGGAGTTAACCAAAATGCCACATATGACACACACCAGACTGGCCTCAGGCACAGGACATGTACCTGGGCCCCATGCACAGGGCCCAGGACATGGTGCCTGCTCTGGGACCTGAGCTTCATGTGGAGACCCCCACTGGCTGGTGTGAGAGATGCACCACCTGAGCTTCATGTGGAGACCCCCACTGGCTGGGGTGAGAGATGCACAAGACATGGTGCCCATGCCATACAGTCTGGGTCATATCCCATGTGTAGCTGGCTGTTAAGACCCCTTTGTTCAGATAC